GATACGCACATGTGTAGTGGCGCACACATCTTGCTTAAAACACCTGCGTGGTACTCTGCCCGCACACACACTTTTGAGTTGTGATAGAACAGAGGAAAAATGGTCCCTCGTGTATGCTGTACAGTTGGTTCTCGAGACAAAACAGCCTCAGGAATATGTGGCTATGGGTTCAGGTACTCTGGTACTGTAATGTCTTCCTGGTACTGCAAGGGTTTTATTACGCTCTCAACGGAATTTTGAAACTGTTAAGAAATTTACTGGTACTTTCTCTCTATTGTCTTTCCTTCTCTTTCTATCTATCGTTCTCTCTTTCCTTCTTGTTCGCTTTCTCTGTCTATGTTTTTATCTCTGGGTGAATTTAAAAGGCTCGTGCGATAAACCGCCAAGTCTTAACTCTTGGCCTGAGAGATCACAATAAAACAAAGGGGCAATAATGTATTGCGAACCTTTGGGCGTATGGAAATGAGCAGTCAAAACACGAAGCAACACGCACCTGAGCTTAAATTGTGTGGATAATAGCGGATCAGTGCCGCCCGGGCGTGCTTCGGCATGCCAATTTCTGTACAAGGTGTGTCTGTGCCGGAGATGGTAATGAGCTACAGTACACATATTATTCAATCACCATACATTACCCGGTGATGTGTGTGAGTTGATTATAAGTCGCTCACCATCCATCATCATCTCCACGCTGCTGGGGCGGGAAAGGTGGTGGTGTTTTGTCTTGGACCTGCTAGAGGGCGGGGCTACCAGACGTCACAATGGGTGGTGGGCGGGGCTATTTGATGTCACGGCGGGTGGTGGGCTCTCAATTGGCTCAGCCGTGTCAAAATTTTTATTATTGTCCACTCTGTATGAGTATTTCTCTGGCTAAATAAACTGTTTCAATATCAATTTCATGTCACGGCGAGTGGTGGGCGGGGTTGTAACGTGACGGCGAGTGGTGGGTGAAGTTACGAAACATCATGTTTGGTGATGCCACCACTCTGGAGGGCAGGGCGATCTGACGTCACGGCAGATGGTAGGCGGGGCTATGTGACGTCACGGTTGCTGGAGGGTGGGACTATCGGATGTCACGGCTACTGGGGGGCAGGGTTAACTAACCACGACTGATAGTTGACTGGGGTCTGACCCTATAGCTTGAGATGGGCTGGGCTACCAGACTTCACAGCTGTTGGTGAACAGGGCTGTTTGAGGTCACAGTTGATGGTAAGTGAAGCAGAGGCCCGAGTTAGGGACGGGTGGGGCCATTGGTGGATTAACAAGGGGCTTAAGGGGCAGTTACTCCAGGGCCCCAAGGTGTGAGGGGTCCTCAAGGCCCCAACGATAAATTTATTAGACATATATTCCAACACTTTCTGTCCCAATAAGGAAATGTATGTGTGTACTGCAGTGCCTGCAAATTGTCAACTGCAAATAAGCGATTTTTTTCAAAGTGATGGTTTTATTGATTGGAAGCTGCTGACCAGGTGTTGTGCAGGACGACAGTGAAGGCCACGGACAGGTAATGGTTTCCTTAATACCACTAACCCAAATAGAAGGAATACTTTATACATCTGATCAAACAAAACAAAAGTAAAACTCGGTATTGGACAGCTGTTCTACTGCAGTTGTAAAGGTCACAGCCTTTTAGTAGAGCGCTGGTTTGTCACTTCGAGGAAAGGATGAAATATTTGGACCCATACACAATCGTAAATACTTGGGCATTTGAGAATTATGAGCCAAGTATGATGTATTTATACAACATATCAGTGAACTTGGTAACAAAGCCCGTGGACACATCTTTCATCAACTCTGTGAGAATATTTTATCTCCTCACGGGGACAAGAAGTGTTGGAATATATAGCTACATTATAATATGTAATTGTACTGAATGGAAGAAAGCGAAATTCTTCTGTCGATATTATTCGTGGCATGTCACACCTGGAGCCGCATATTCTTATTGTGGATCTTTACAACCATTCCTAACTCGATTGTCTGCGTGCAATGATGCTGTTGTCACTTTGAAGACGGGATGTAGCTAAATTAATGATGCTCTGGATTTCTTGTTTGATGATGACATGCAGAGGCAGGCACTAGGATGTTAGTAGTGTCAAAAGTGATGGGAAGACAAGAAACAACAATAGTAGCTGACATGCGGCAGACTATTATTGAACGCTTTCACACGGTATCGGTAAACTTGCAAGATTTAACAATGATCTCCACAGTGTAGTGCAATTGCTAGAGAAATTGAAAATATTTGTAGAGAAGTTGAGAGGCAAGTATGCATACTGTACTTTGAGGAAGAAGCAAAAACTCGAGGCTTATGTTCAATGATGTACTGTAGTGAAAATCAAGAACCAAGGAAAGTAAATAATAAATTGAATGATATGGTTTGGGAAGAAGTAAACATGACCCACGGGAACAATAATGCGTACTTTATCATGATTGAGTTATTATCAAACGCTCATGACTCAGGCTCTAGGCAGACGACTCGATGCATATTTTGTAGTGAGACAGATTTGAGGTTTTGAAAACAACAACATGACGAGGGAGAAAGTACCAACTGCTACTCAAAATCTTCTAAACAAATACTTTTCAGTCATAGAAGAATCTTTTAGCTGAAGAACTACGTCAGTTTTCAGATCTTTTGACCGTTGATTCAGTAAAGAGATATTAAATTTGAAATATAAATACGGCATACAACTTTCTGCATTTTCATGATATTGAAGGTACATTTAAAAATGTTGACGTAATTTTACGTGTATATCTTTGCGCCTGTGTTGCAACAGTTAGTCAAGTGCAGGGTATTAATTTTTCCAGCCTGGCATATCGTAACGACAGTGACATCTCAATTTCCTATAAGTTATCCCAGGTTTTTCTATTATTTCTATTACTTACATGTATCTGGTAAATTTAACAAAGACATTATACAGTAGTATGTAAGTATGTGTCTACTGGTGGTGCAGATTACCTTGATGTTGGTGCACACAACAAAGTTATTCGACACCGTGGTGTAAAGAACTATACCTGTAAATAACCTATACTGGAGAACCTTCTTTTTCACATCTTGGGTTAATTAAGAATAAATTACGGTCCGCTGTAGGGTTGCCATACGTCCGTATTTTCCCGGACATGTCCTCCATTTAGGTCTCGAAATCTTCATCCGGAAGGAATTTTTAAAATTCTTCAAAAGTCCGGAATTTCAGCTTCCATCATTTTCTTCACGGAAAAAAACATGAAACTGTAATGACGGGAGAGAAAGAGAGAGGGAAGGTGGAAACCGTGGAGATCTCTTTCAGTTTTCGTCAGCTGATAAGTCACTTGTACGCCTGTACGGTGTTGTCAACTTAGCTGTCAAATATTTGATTGATAAGTGGGTAGAAGTTGATGAAGTGTTTTGACCAAGTTAGTAACCTGAAGCAGTTTGTGGAAAATTACAAGTGATGAAGAATTTAGTAATCTGCCAACACATAAAAAGTGGACCAGATACTTTGAAAAATCAAAGAACATTGAATGCCACTCAGAATTGCTGAGAATTGCACAATTCTTCTTTGCTATATTATCTCACAATGCAAATGTAGAAAGAGTTTTTTCACTGATGCAAAGTCAATGGACAAAGGAAAGGAACAAATTGAGTGTTGAAACAATGAAAGGCATTCTGACTGTACAGTACAACTTCCGAGAAACACCTTGCAGTGACTTCTATGCCTTTCTAAAGAGCAATCAGCCAATACTGAAAAAGATCCGATCTACAGAAAAGTATGCATGGGCACATCAAGTCACACACACAGTGGGGGAAGAAGACTGCAGCTAAGGGAATGAAGATGTTCAGCCTTAAGCAAAGGTATTTTTTTTTTTAGATTTCTATACCATATATGTTGTATATTAGCCTGTGTGTGCCTGGCGGTGGGGGGGGGTTGTCTTTGGGAGCGTCCTCTTTTTTTAATGTTCAGATATGGCAACCCTAGTCCATTGTGCATCAACATCGTTTGACTAAGTTAACTCTTGTTAATTAAGCATGAAATACTACGCACAGACTATTATAATGTTCTTCCTGCGTTTCAATAAATGAAGTCTTTAACAACAAGGTTCGTCCAGCATTAACAAATTATGTGAGATAGAACTCTGTGTATGCATAACAGAATTTTACTGAAATGTAAGTGATAAAGCAAAGGTTTTATAGAATTTTAGTTGTGAGAAATGGCTCTTAAAACCGAGACTTTTCTTGTGTTTTTCAATTTGTATTTTAGTTTATACCATGTCTAACTATATATATATATATATATATATATATATATATATATATATATATATATATATATATATATATATATATATACTGTATATATATTAGAGTTGGCCGATTGACCCCACCTGTTCTTAACCGGCCACTATCCATAGAGTTTTAGATCAATCAACTGTCCATTTAAAGGTAGACTAAAACAGACGAGGAAATGGTCGATGTGTTGTAACAAGGACAACTATTCTTATGTTTCGTCTGAATGTTTGTGTTCATCAGAAGTTTGTCCTGCTGTTGTAGAAGATAGAATATACATTTTCTTTGGTTATTCTTAGAAAATGATTATGATGACAGACTGAGACAGTACGTCAAGTCTTCGCTGCGTAAGTCCTATTAATTTTGTATTGATCCTTTATTCTCGTCTCTTTCCTATTTTTATTGTCTCACTTATTTGTTTTTCCTGGGCTGCTTAACCTGAAACTAGTGTGTAATTTAAGTACTCTGATCCCATACGCAAATGACTGAGCTATCTCTTATTATTTTTGGAAACCTCAAAACCTCATTCATTAGGATTTATAGAGGAACCAGTAGCAGGACACATGAACACAATTAACGTGTTTATTACGTTTATATTTTTATCTAATATTTTTTAATATATATATATATATATATATATATATATATATATATATATATATATATATATATATATATATATATTTCATGTAAATCCACAATGAAAACGTGGATAAGATAAATCTTGATAAAATCACACGGGAAAATGGAAACAACGGAGAATCTTAGCTTGCCTTTATTCAAGACATCTTCAGAGGCAACTGATTACAGGTCACCCTGCATATTTGGGGTTTCCCTCTGTCCATGTAATCCAGTTGCCTCTGAAGATGTCTTGAATAAAGACGAAAGCTAAGGTGCCTGTTGTTTCTTCTTCCGTGATTTTTATCAATATATATATATATATATATATATATATATATATGCAAGCAAATCACCAGCTGCGCGTGATCCAGGTATATGTTGATAAACTGCCATGAAGACCTGACCTGACTACCGACCGTTGCGGTGCTTTTAAAGATTAGTACAAAAGAACATAAGAATGGAGGAAACTGCAGCGGGCTCTATTAGTCTCATACTGGGCAGTCCCGTTTACACCCAACCCCTATTGCTCATATAAGCATCCAACCTATGTTTGATTATTCAGCGTATTCGAGTTAATAGATGATATTTGGTAACTTGTTCCATTCATCCACTACTCTGTTTCCAAACCAGTGTTTGAGTACCTTTGTAATGTCCCCTTTGTTTAGCCCTGCCTTCCACTTATACACCTCTATTAGGTCGCCCCTCGCTCTACGTCTCTCGAGGGAGTGCAAATTAAGATGCTTTAACCTGTCTCTATACTCAAGGTTCCTAATGCCCGGGATTAGTCTTGTCATTCTCCTCTGAATTCTTTCCAAGGATTCTATATCCATTCTGTCATACTGTGACCATTACCTAATACCTGACCATTGTGGACCTGATCTCACCCTCCTCTGTATATATACACCTTGTTTTGTACTTCTCCTTAGTCTGTACTCACCCCTGAATTACACGAAAGCGCTGGGGAACTTCGTGTTTTCTTCTTTCCTTGTGGTTATCAGCATATATATATATACAAAAGCTTGTTAGGTCCACGTGTATAAAGTACCTTTCAAGCACTAATCTTACACTGTGTATCGGCAGGTTCTGGGGCGGTGGGTCTGGCCCACTTTGACAAGTGTAGCCACGACGAATGTCTGAGCGGCCTCCATATCTGCTCTCACGACGACGGCGTCCTCCACCTGCTCACCCGCATCAATGAGCTTTCTATGGGCTACACCGAGGGCCGCCTCGAGCTCTGTGTCGTCGGCGGATTCCAGGACGCCCGCGCCATTTGTGAGAAGGTCACCCTCTCCCTCTTGAGTAAGTTGCCACCCCTTATGAGTAAATCCCAGTGTTTATCTCACTGCTGGGTAACCCTTCATGTTTGTCTCCCTGTTTAAAGGAACCCCTCATGTCTTCCTGTTGACTAAGTCCCCTCGTGTTTGTGCTGACATTCCATTCTTAAACCCCGAATGATCCCGCTCCCAAGGTTCTACCAGTGTTATTCATCCAAGGCAGCCAAACACAGACGCCAATTTCGCCATAAAACTCTGGGGAGAAAACATGCCTCACTTCAAAAGTTGTTGTTGTATATATTTTGTGTCCGAAAAAAACAAAACAGGTGCTGTAGCTGTATTTATAATTCACAGACGCATTCAGCAAGTACTCCATATTGTCTATACAGTACTCTTCCCTTTGTGTCTTCATCCCTCTAGTGTTACTGGAGGTTAAACAGGTGAAGGTGAGCCTGATGGTCTGCTAAGAAATAGATCATTAAGATAAGACTTCATTTTGAGTCGACCTTAATATATATATTTTTTTACCCAGACTTTGTTTCAATCTGTAGTTTGCTTAGCCTAGGGAGATTACTTTTTTCAATTTTACTGCAGCTGTAGGTAAATTTGAATATGTCACCCGATATTAAATTTTGAGAATTTTACGTTTGCAATTAATAGTTTAGACAATTCTAAGACACTTTCCTTGCAAATAACCTAACCTGACCTCCTAACCGAGATGGCTCTGCTCCTCTCGACCCCCCACCTCCCCCGGCAGATATAAGTCATTTACAGTATTCTTGTTACCTAGTAGGTACTACACTGGCAGAGCTGTCCCGAGGGGGGGGGGGTGCGGGGCCCCTCTGCATTCTTAAATATATATATATATATATATATATATATATACACTGAGAAAAGGGAAACAACGGAGCACCTTAGCTTTCGTCTTTATTCAAGACATCTTCAGAGGCAACTGGATTACATGGACAGAGAGGCTTAAATATACAGGGTGACCTTATTAAACATGAGGTCAGGTCATAATGATGTCATCCACTAATCTCCACACCAACACACACGTACAGGAGCTTAAGAGAAAAGGGGTCGACGTGACTAGTCAGGTCAGGTCAGGTCAAAAATAAGGGACCCACTAAATAACTATCCTACATCTAGCTCCAAGGTTTTCAAAGCATTTTTAACCTTGGGCCACTGACAAATAAATTTATGTAACATAATATCAGTTTTGAACTGACCATCACTAAGGTTTATTGATTTTTAATTCCTTAATCAAACTAGCTTCAACCAGAAGTCTTTCTGTGACACAAGATTATTTGAATACTTCTAAGCTTTTTTCCCAAGCAATGGGATGATTATTATTCCTAACATGAACGAACAGGGCACTGCTTTCAGATGCTGTTCTGATATTGTACTTATGTTGTTTGATTCTGAGCTGCAACGTTTTTCCTGTCTGTCCTACATAATTACCATTACATTTGCTACATGGAATACAATAAACACTTCCATTTACATTCAAAGTTGGGCTATTTTTTATTAACATTGTGGTAATGGTTGAGTCATACTTTAAAACAACATTAATATTTCTTAATTTAAGGGACCGAACTAACGGGACAAATTCATTGCGATAGGGCAGTCAAAATATTCTTAAGTGTAGGAATTTGTCTGGTTTGAGTAGAATGAAAGGATTTTTTAGCCCTTTTAAAACAATGATCATCAACAAACACAGAAGGGTACCCGAGTTTTTGTGCAATGGAACGAATGTGTTTCAATTCTTTATCAATAAATTCAGGGTCACAAATACGCAAACATCTCAAAAACATAGCAGAAAAAACTGACATTTTGGTAGACTCCAGGTGATTCGATAAAAAATTTATGAAACAGTCTACCTGTGTGGGCTTCCTGTACACCTTAAATTTGTAGTTATGGCCATTTCTAATGATAAGCATATCAAGGAATGGAAGGGATCCATTTATTTCTCTTTCAATTTTTATTGTGATACTTGGGACAATATCATTAGGCTTGTCTAAAAATTCCAATGGGTCACTGTTTCTAGGCCAAAGACAAAGAACATCATCTACATATCTATACCATGGAGGAATAAAGTCCCCTATATTGGGTAGTAATCAGATCACCCTGTATATTTAAGCCTCTCTTTGTCCATGTAATCCAGTTGCCTCTGAAGATAAGATGTCTTGAATAAAGACGAAAGCTAAGGTGCTCCATTGTTTCCCCTTTTCCCGTGTGATTTTATCAATATATATATATATATATATATATATATATATATATATATATATATATATATATATATATATATATATATATATATATAAGAGTATATATATATATATACTGTTGTACCCTGTTTCTTAACGCCAGCTCGGACAGAACCCAGAGGGTCCCGTGTTAAGGAACTGCTGCTAAGTGAACAACAGAACATATGGATTAATTCTTAATTAGAAACTGCCCGACCCCCAAACTCCACTTTTTGGAAGGCAATATGACTTGCTGTAGTAAAATAACATCTTAATTTTTATGATGGGTACATGCAATAATTAATACTTAAGAGAAATAGAGAACATAGTCGTTGCTAATGTCCATTCAAATAATGGACTCAACTCTCCCCTCTCACACTACACGGCTCTTCTCTGAGAAATTTTGGGGAAAAAATTCACTAAATTTTAATACTAAATAATACCAAACTAAAGTTAGATAATACAATTGACATTGCTGATCTCTTTGTAGGAATATTTTGAATATAAATGCCATATATTTTGCACAAAAGATAACATATTTACTAGAGAAAACATTTTATCTAAAATTTGTATGTCTAATGCAAAATATATGATGTTTATATTCAAAATGACCACCAAATTATAAGAATTCCAGCAATGTAAATTATATTCTGGCCGGGTAATTTGTATGAATTTTATGAGCTAAAACAAATATCTTCAGTTAATAAAAAAAAAAATATTCTTCAAGACACTATCTGTCAATCAAAGTACCCCACCTTGCCTCCCCCCCTCTTCCAACCGCCGTCAGTCCCAACTCTCCGCTTCAATTCCCCCACCAATCTCCTTCAAGAGTTTTCAATGATTTAGTATTAAATGATACCTCAGATTAAAAAGATAATAATTGACATTGCTGATTCCTTGTAAGATTAGGGAATATTTTGAATATAAATGTCATATATTTTGCACAAAAGATAACATAGTTACTCTGAGAAAAATTTTTATCTAAAATTTGTATGTTTAATGCAAAATATATGATGTTTATATTCAAAATGATCACCAAATTATAAGAATTCCAGCAATGTAAATTATATTCTGACCGGGCAATTTGTATGAATTTTATGAGCTAAAACAGGCAGTCAGGCAGGGTGGCGGGTGGGGCAAATCTAAAAATAGCGTCTCGAGCCGGACACTACCACATATATGTGAAAAAAAATCCGTAAAGAGGAAAGTTCATTTCATGAAAGTAATCACAGAGTATGATAAAACGCGTTAAGTAAAAACCGCTAGGCGCGGGGTAATATATATATATATATATATATATATATATATATATGTGTGTGTGAAATAAAATTTTAAAATCAGTTTATTTTTATAGTTACATATATACACACTGTAATATACATATTGTTAATCCCCCAATCATACTGTTACTATGCCAAGTATTATGTAATTTACTATGTTATAACACCTTTCATATATTTCCCATTTGGCAATCTTCGCATGAAAAAGTCTTCTGAAAACTGTTAGAATTCACCATTTTTTGGAAACATAATTTTCACTAGATACCTTAACAGGTCCCTTTTCTACCAAAATATCAATTGTCGTAGTGTCCAGTAAATGTGGCCAGTTGGCTGGATCACATAGATCTTCATCGGCATGACCGTTAGCGTAGGTAAAACTGTCCATTTTAAAAGCCTTAGTATTTTCTCAGTACTCTCCTCTTCCTCAGCTTGAATATGGCCCACACACACCATCACCATCACAGTCGCTCAAGTCCTTTTTTGCACTAGTTTATGGTGTTTCTTAAAACACATATTTTTCTAGGGAACCTTTCATTGACATTTCGATTTCTTCTCTTTTCCTTTTCTTTTGCCTTTTCTCTGAACCCGAGATGTATTTTCTACATCTGTCTCTATCCTTGCTGGCCATGGTATCAGGGCCGGATTAACCATGAGACACTTGAGGCATTGGCCTCAGGCCCCCTGACTCTAAGGGGTCCCCAAATCCAAACATTCTCGAAGTTGAAGCATATAAAACATGAACTTCGTTCAACGATGTCCTAGCAACGTCTCAATTTTCTGTCTCTTATGAACATTGAATGTGTTATTTTGCAGAAGCTTAATATTGATGAAATCATTGATAAATTTTGGTATATTTTGTTCTTGCTATATACTGTATATATTTACCTTGAGTGTAGGGGGCCCCAAGTTGATCTGTGCCTCAGGCCCCTATATAGCTTAATCCGTCACTGCATGGTATAATAAAAAACGAGGGCTGTGAATGACAGTAAAATAATGTATATCAACAATTTCACAAAACACAAATCACGGACAACTGGAGATTCAGAGTTTCAACATCACTGACAGGTGAGTGCTGTCAACATCTTCACTCCTCTTTGACAGAGAGCACAGTAAAGAATGACATTGTTCTCTGTCTGGGTGGTAAGATGGGTTGTCTTGATCTTACCTTTGACTTCATGTCAGCAGATGCATTGCCTAACTGTGCTCATCACCAATCCTTCAGGTGGTCTCCTGAATCTGGGTGGTAAGATGAGTTCGGCCTAACCTGGTCGCTGATTCTGTTGTTGGGTAAGGTAAGGGCCGGGGGCCTGGTGGGGTCGCACTGGTTGTCTTACTCTAGGGACGGCTCTGTACACTGGGCTTGACTTACTCAGGCCATGGCATCATAGCTTTACACACTGTTACTTGACTTTCCCGTTTACACTTATGCATTCACAAGGTCGAGTTAGCACAAAAATCTCATTTAATGAGTTGATTTTGTATATTTTTATCATGATATATTTTTGTGTCACCTTTCAGATGCTATGCACAAGAGTCCACCACAGATCCATTTGGTTCTGCTGTGTACTGGGGAGATGAACACAACGCTGAGAGGCAACATCTCCTGGCCACTTGTCAAGGGCATTGGTAAGGAGTATATACTTGAGCCAGTGGCATGTTAAGTACAATACTTGTAAGTAGAATTACAGTAGGTCATCCTTACTTATATAGTTAAAGTAAGTGATTTTTTTTATTTCTGTATGGGCTGCATGTTGGTTACAGTACAGTAGCTACAGCTCTTCATGCACATTCTCTTCATTCCTTTCCCATTTGCTGTACTTATAAATGTAATATAATTTAGGATTTTATAGGACAAATATTCAGTACTGTACTTCAAATGAATGGGCTTTTATAGTCTTCTTATGATGGACAGGTCCTCCGTGAGTGAACTGTATGATGACAGGAAACATTATTCATGTAGACAATACCATTGCTGCAAGCACTTACTTACCTAGCTGAATCAAGGTTCTAAACATCTGATTTGGTGGTTGTCTTGCTTGTCGAGTTATCCGAGACAGCAGTTTAATTTTTCCAGTGAGGTTGACATGACACTTTGAAGCGATGAGGGATTTCGAATCCCAACCTACAGCCTACTCTAGGTCTTGCTGCCTACTACAGTTAAGTTCTGTACTGTACTACTGTACTGTACTACTGTACTAGGCTTTATGACAACACCTCATTTTCAGATTTATAGACCGAGACTATAATTTTTTTTTAATGTGTATTAAAGGTTATATTCTTTGTATACAGTGCAGGTATATAGCTTTTCTGAGTACTGTGTTATAGTATTTAAGAAGTTCAAATCCCCGACCTGGGCAACTTGATGGTTGAATAAGGCAGCTGCCAAATCAGAAGTTAATAAATTTGATTTCACTGGGAAAGTACAGTACTACTATACTTGGGTTAAGATTTATTTAGTTAACCAAAGAACTTCATATTTCTATTTATTTAGGGATAAAGTGCAAAAAACAAATACTATAATCTATTTCATTTCTGTTGCAAATTTTATTTTTCAAGTAATTTGGACTTTGTGATAGGACCCAGGGGTATGATTTCTTTTATATTCTGTAGTGGGAACAAAAGCTTCTGACCCTATACGTACTGTTATTGTTTGAGGCTACCAGCAGTTTATTGACTAAAGATGAGACACCTGTTGTAGAAAAGAAATTAAATACTGTAGTTTGTATCTTCAGATACATCGTAACATACTGTAGTTTATTATCAATATTTAGGATTAAGTTGAAATGCTCTTTTGGTTTGTGTCTGTGTCCAAGGGATCTTAGTTGCTTCCAGAGCTTTTTTTTTTATTACTTTTATTTTCCTCAGCATTAAATTTTAAATAATCTGTTTTCACTTGCATTATATCTCTGTGAACTTTGTTTATTGAGGCACACCCCGATAACCGACACATATAGAGACCAGGGAAAGTCAATGGTTAGTGAATCAACGGTTATCGAAGCAATTAATCCCATAAGAATGTAACAAATTCAGGTGATTAGGGACTGACCGCCCTCCCAAAATCCCAAGAAAATAAAGTGGATATATATAAAGCAAGTTGATCTCTGTGTATGATGGATTCTGATATCTCGCTAGTCATCCGAGGTTCAGTCAAGCTAGTGGAGTTAGAAGAATTTATTCGTTTATATGTGGGACTACTATCATTGGTTTTACAGTACTTAAGGAAAAATTCAAGAATCTCGTCAATTTCTGAAATTTGTTGAAAATGCCATTTGTATCTGTAGGTGTGAGCACACAAACTGGCAAGATCTTCCCTGCTACCTTCACTGACAAGGGACCCTACCTTGTCCTCCGTTCTACCAGGGTCTTCACTGGTGCACAACAGGTATGTTTCTCTAAAGTTACCCCTAGCATTGTTGATGATATAACACAGCAGCACAGAAGTAATAAGCATGTAGCACACCAGTTATGCATTCTTTATGTACACTTTTAGTGAATTTGAAGAATTTACAATGAACATGAGGTTCATTAGAGAGTATGAAGTACTTTCAGTGATAGTTGTGCACTTTATTAAGTACAGATTAAAAAAAAGTCAAATAATATGGAATATATTGTATAGTTCACTGGATGTACTGTACATTACTGTACGTATACAGGTACAGTCGGAGTCAAAAGTCTTGAACGCGACGGTATTTGGCAAGTACCCAAAGGTCTTAGGTATTAAGGCGAGTTTTATCCCATTTTGTGGTTCAGACATAATATGTGATGACAAGTAGTGTTATTAGTATATCCCAATCATATATGTATAACTCAGAAGTAGATGCCAGATATTACTAAGTGTTCAAGACTTTTGACCCCGGCTGTACCTATTATGGAGATGGAGTCCATACAATGATTAAATAATGAATCTGGCTTGTATGCTGTACATAATTAATAATATCAGCACAGTTTCTTGAAGATGATGTTTTGGAATAATATCTCTGTTAGCTGGAACTCTCCAATACCTGGAATTTAATTTGCTCCTCATTTTTCCCCCAAATTTCTCTCAATTCCTGATTTGGGAAAGATTTTCAGGGTTTGAAAGTTAGGCGCATTTTCTAAAAAATTCCAAGAAAAGTTCCGGAAACACACTCCAAATGTTTTTTTTTCCAGTTTGGGAACAAATTCCGAGGTTGAAAATCAGGCACATTTTCTGAAAATTTTTATGAAAAAATCCAGAAACTATCTCAAATTTTTTTTATCCGGGTTCTAGGAGCAAATTCTGAGGATGAAATACAGTAATGTGCATTTTCCAGAACCTTCTAACAAACTTTTCCCGGTGAATGTACATGCAAAAATCCAGGGGATGAGTGATTTTTCTGGGTTTGAGAGAGTCTTCTCCTTAACTGGTAATCTCTCGTCCCTGGAAGTGCTCTACAACAATTGTTCCGGTTAATGGGCATATCACTTATAAAACTCGGATGTAAAGTAACTCTGAATAACTTTTAATTGTCTACCAATTTCCATCTCTTCTCCACAGTTTTATGTGGAGAATAGAACCACAAGCCATATATATTCAGGGGAATGCAGTATCACAGTTAGGTAATACAGTAATACCTATCCCTGTTAGCCGGTACAATTGGTTTGAAAGATATCTGTGTATTAAGACAAATTCTCTTATCCCCGGAAAAAAAATTACTCATTGACCAAATTTTTGCAGACGTTGGTGAATGTTTCTGTGTCTTAACTACACACCAGGCATGGGGCACTGTTTCTATGGTGGCTTAAGTGCAGTCAGACAGACAAAGTTGCATTTATTTATGTAAACACTACAGTGTACGTACAATATATTGTAAAGAAACAAAATATGCTACCATATCCAGCCATCTCGCTGTTTACAACGTAGTTAAATTCTTGAGAATGGCCTGGGTAAATAAAAAACGTGTACCTTAAATCAAACTTAATTACCGGTATCCCATAAGAAATATAGGAAATGGCAGGGGTTAGAAGAAACACTCCCTAAAAACTTTAATTTGTTTATCTATTTCCTTTAATATATTTTATCTGCAATAATAATATAAACAAACAATAATAATACAAAGCTAGTGTCAATTAAAAAAAAAGTGCAAATTAATTCCATGTAAATTGAGAGGTGACTGTACACTACAGTATACTTTGCTCACCAGGAAGGATTGTACATACAGCATGCTGTATACTGTACATACACCCCTACACTAGGCATATACTATCCACTTTCACACTTAGTACATACTGTACTTTCACACGCACCGAATGTACAGTACATGTACAGTACAGTACGTATATTCATAACTGTAATAAGTTTTTATGTCTTAACACTGCTTTATCCATTTAACAGTATTATTGTGTGTTTGTATCCTGGTACAGTAATGTACAGTACAGTAGCTAAAAAAAGTATCTGTGCATACATTGTGTGAAACTATATGATACCACGGACGATAGGTTGGGGTAGGCATGTTGTCTCCTTATACTAAGTGAAAGTAATCACTTAACTGTTTATTTTATTCCTATATGCCAACTCACCCCCTGTGTTGGATACTAAATGGCGGTGGATGAAGACACGCATACCAACCCTCCCGGGACATCACGAGTTGTACGTACAATTTCGGAAGTCATCGGACCCACCCTCTCAGATACTTAACTTTTTTTAGCTACTGTGCATGCTGTTCCTTGTATTTTGGATTTTCTTCAAATTTCATACAAAAGTACCTACTAATTTACAAGCTGATTAAGTATTTGGGTTCAGAATTAAAAAATTGAGTAATAATTAAATAGTATACTGTAATGTATTTAGAATATTTAAAAAGTCAATTTTGGTGTGCCCATAAGTTTTAAATCACCTTTATATACTTTTCATAAAAATATAGGCTATCTTTACTGTATAAACATGTTAGTTTCAAATTCCTATAAAAATGTTGTTTGATGCAAAAAATATGCATTTCGGTACTTGGGGTCATACCATGGATTTTGTTAAAATCTCATACAAAGGTACAGTATTCTTTTGCATGTTGATGAAGGATCTGAGTTCATAATTTATATTTTTGAGTAATTAGTGTTAATTAATGACTTACAAAAAACTTTAGAATATTTAAAACGTCAATTACGCTATGCTTGTAAGTTTTAGATCCCCCTTATATACATTTTCTCAAGAATATAGGTTAACTTTTTCACATAAGCACGAAAGTTTTCACTTTCCGAAAACACCTGACTTAATACCTTCTGTTTCAACAGAGGTCATGACGTAGATATTGTCATAGGCATACCAAGGGAGGGGATTGCCCCCCCCCCCTCATTGAGCGAATAAATTATTCCAATTAAACCATTTTTAGCATTAAGAAGAGAAAAATAATAGTATTACTAGGTAATTGAGCTGTAAGCTCATCATGAACGTGCAGGAAAATATTAATTATCTCGTACAGTATATGAACAATGCTGTACAGTACAGTAGCTAATAATAAGGTTCTGACAGGGTGGGTCTGATGACTTCCGAAATTATACGTACAACTCGTGATGTCTCGGGAGGGTTGGTATGTGTGTCTTTACCCCACCGCCATTCAGTATCCAACACTGGGTGAGTTGGTATATAGGAATAAAATAAACAGTTAAGTGATTACTATCACATAGCATATAAGGAGACAACACGCATATCCCAGTACTGTACCTATTGTCCTTGGTCTCGTATTGTTTCACAAAGAGTATGCACCAATACTTTCTTTAGCTACTGTACCTCGGTACTGCATGTTTTGGCAAACCTGGGTTGAGAACCAGTGGTCTAAGCAGTTGTTTCATTTGAACACAATCTTTTGGAAAATTTTTGATAGGGAAAAACAGTTTAAAACAAGTCTCATTTTATAATTCCAGGGCACAAAGATGGTCGTCAAGTCGGAAGATATCTTGTGAAATTTAAGATTTTATTTAATACCCGTACAGTGAAACCTCGGTAAATCGGACTTCAATATATCGGAATTCGCTTTTTTTCAGACTCTTGAGATGCTCTGGTCACCAGAAATACAAAAAAAAAAAAGTTTTAAGAAATGGGGAAGATTAATAAAAATATACAAAATGAACAACACCTGCACTGTACTGTACAGTGGTCTAATCAAATTTGCAATAGGTCTACTGAGAACTAAGACACTTGAGTATGTATTGGGGCTGATAAGTGTTGCTGCATTTGTCAGGTTTATTTATTTATTGATTCAGTATTATATTCGCTTATGATTGGTCTCTTATGGTTTATGGTTCATCATGATTAATAAAACATTTTAAGTAATAAAGAAAAAATACAATATAGGGGTACTGTATGTAATTTGCAATAAGACTCGAAAATAAAAGGATAAGCTGTATCAGAAGGTTGTTTACTGAAGATGCGTCCGTGTGAGAGCTTTCAGCAGACCAGCTTACAACAGGGGTCACTATAACACACTGTATAGTATCTGATATGAAGATACCTTCCTAAAAATGCTACTTACTACCTTTGAGTGTTATATGATGGCTCAATTTGGCTACTTGTACACTTTGATAAATGATTAATGAATAAACCAGTGTTGATGACAGATGTTGTGGTAAACCTATCAGCTGTTAAGTGTGGGATTCTTTTTTCAAGAAAGCAGATTCTTATAGGATAATATTTTATCAACCTGGCATCAAATGATCCTAAATTATATGAGAATTGTTGTGGAATTGCATAAAGAAGTGTTAAAGGAACCTTTGGGGGGAAGGGGGACAACCCACCCATGCTACCTCTGTCAGCTGCTCCCGGATAAACATTCATCTTCCACAGACAATATACTCCTACACTTATTTGTCCTTATTTTTATCTTTATAGTACAGTACTGTACATATACAGTTTTCTCTTTATTCATAAGACATATTCTGTGATTACTTATAACACTTTACAGTAAATGACAATCATCTCAGTGACAACGGTTTTTGACACATATATCTGATTTTCAACCCAGAGAGTTCTGTTTCATATTTTTTTATTGTTGATTGATGTAATATTCTTTTAATATCCTTGTTATACACGTAAAAGCCTTAGTTGTTGAAGTGCAGTAATAACATAACATCAACTGATTTTCTTTAAACAGTTCAAATAAGCAGGGTTATCTCCCCCCCCCCCCACATATTTGCATTTTTCAGATTGGGGTCTGCCCCAATTAGTACTATTTATCGAGGTTCTACTGTACTCTCATTTATGAGCATATAAGTCTTAACATCTGTATTCTTCACTAATTTAATAGTACAGGTATTTGACTAATATAAATTTTCCTTCTGCCAGATGGTTGACATATATGACTGTGCTTTGGGATTATTACGGATTGGACCTTTTAACTATGAGCCTCATGCTGGTGTGGAGCTACTCTTGCAACAGACAGATGATGTGATACTCCAGTGTCTCTCTACAACCCCAGAAGTTGAGGGACCAAGCTGGGTCAAGATGGTATGTTTCGTAGCACCAATATATGTGAAATCTGTACATCAAGATAATGCTTATTTTCTTTCTCTCTTTATCTTGCAAATCTTTTTAATATTTATAGCAGGTAATGTTGGTAAAATCTTATCAAACATTTAAATTGCTGACAGTACAGTATCTCACTTCCTTTAGGACATGGAAAGGAAGTGAAGACAGAAGGGAAAACACTAATAATAAAGATATGTAAAATAAGTTTTTGAAGCATAATTTACAGTTAAGAGAACATGTGACCAGAGAGAGAACTAGCATCCTTAAATCCTTCCTCAATAATGACTTCCTTGACAACATTAAACTCCTATTCTACAATATATTATTACAGATTCAGTATGTGAAATCTCAGGTTGTAGTTATCTAAGAATTATTTTATAAATTTGGGTTAATTTTCAGGTACGAGAAGTTCTAAAACACATCAAAGAGCATCCTTTCCCGGCTGTGACAATATTCCCAGACAACCGACCTCACTATTTCCGACGAGATAACTTGGGGGCTTGGACACCTGCTGAGCTCCCCAACAACAATGATTCCACTCCTGATGCTAATGTTCAGGCAGCTGTTCAAGCTGTTGCTGGAGCTGCAGTTGCAGCTACAGGAGCCTGGACACAAGCAGGTGGTGTCACAACAACATCAGCACCTCCCACCTCAGGTGCTCTTTCTCCAGCCCCCTGGGGTACTTCTGTACCTCCCAGGTCAGTTGTGCACATAATTACTGTAACTCTACTAAGATAATGTATTGTGTTTACTGTGGATATATTGCTATAGGTTACAGTAAAACCCTGTCTACTGGTCTGGGAAACCTAGAAAAGGCAGGGAATTTTATAAATAAACCTGTAATTTTATGTAAATTCAGTTCAGCTTCAAAATATTGTTATTTTGACAGCAATCTTCCCATAAATTAATGCTGTGTGCTGTATAATAGATAAATAATTAAACTTTTAGGAACAAAGTCCAGTAAATAGTCCACTCCAATAACTGAATTGCTTGTGTGCCTCTCATATTTCATGTTAGTGATCAAATAACCAAATATTACAGGTTATACCTACTAATTCTGCAATGAGTATTGTCAGAGATGAATTGTTCTCATAATTAAGTAACTTTATTTAAGTGGATTAATCCACATACAGTATTAATCATGAATCATATGGGTGGATCAGCAGTGTGATTTTTTTTTGCCGGATTTCTACCTTTTTTGGAATGTCCAGGTCAACCCACGTGAATCTCACAAATCCAAGGAGAAAAATATGGAGGGGGGGGGGGGTCAGGGTCTTTTCCGATGTTTATCACAAGGCTTGGGGTGAGTCGCGAACGGGTCTTCAATTTCTTGATTAATATCATTAATGTCATCTTTAATTTCCCAATAGTATATACAGGTGCTCCTCTACTTAAGAACATTCAACTTACAAACTTTCAGAGATACAAACATCATCACTGAGGGGGAGGGGTTACCTGCCAGAACAGGTGTTTAATGTGGATGAGACTGGATTATTTGGAAGAAAATTCCAGATAGAACAAACATTACCTAAGAGGAGAAGAGTGAGCCAGGTTTTAAGACTGTATTAAAGGGTATAGCTGTACTAAATATCCATAATTTTTCATTTTTTTACAATATGTTTGGTATCTACAAGAGTAAAGTTGGACTTACAAACAAGCCTCATGAACGTAGCTCGTTTGTAAGTAGAGGAGCACCTGTATTTCAATGGGATATTGGATAATTGTTCCAACTCGCAGAATTCCCTTTAATTTAATTAAAAAGTACATACAAAGTACTGTTTACGGGTAATAGAATTAACAAAACATTAAATATAAATAAAATACAGTACTGTACAGTATACTGTACAATATTAAATAAAAAACAATAAAATACTTTGAGGTGTGTATGTAGAATGTTGCTGGTTGAGTTGAAAGGTGAAGGAAGAAGATGAAGGGAATTGGAAGTGGGGGTGGAGGAGGAGGAGAAGGGGGGAAGAGAAGCATTTTAATGCTTCTTGGAAGGCGAACCACCTTCCATAAAAATGTCAGAAACCTCTTTGGGCCTCCAAAGTGTTGGCAAGATCAGGGTCATGATCAGGAGCCTTTAAAGGAAGTTTATTGGTGGTGAGGTAATTCTTCGCAGAAGGGTAAAACACCTCAGCTTCCCATTTATTAAAGAGCTGCCTAGTCACCCATAACTTGCAGTTCGACTTCCAATAAACTCCAAGTTGTCCTCTTATTACATTTTGTTGTTTGAACACCCTGGGATTCTCAGAGTGGTATACGAGCATAGGCTTAAGTCTGAAATCCCCTGAAGCATTGGCACCAAGCAATAGAATGAGATGGTCCTTCATTGGTTTATGCCGTGGTAAAGCAGCTTCGTCTCTGGTGTTGAATGTCCTTTTGGGCATTTTCTTCCGGAACAGCTCAGTTTCATCTACTGTACATAGAAAACTTGCTGTGGAAGATAATCTTCCTTCATCAGTTTCTTGAATTCTGCTACTAATTTTTCAGCGCCTTCTTTATCTGCACTTGCAGCTTCACCATGCCAAACAACATTATAAATGGCAGTTCTTTTCTTAAACTTATTGAACCAGCCCTTGCTGGCTTTAAAGTCTTCAAACACAGTTTCAGAAGAACTAGGTTGATCTTCCTTCAAATGTTCATAAATTTCCCTGGCTCTTCCACAAATGAATTTAGTAGAAATGGAATTGCCTTTCATTTTGTTTTGCTTTAACCCAAATAAGAAGTAACCTCTCCATTTCTGCAATCAGCCATCTGCCTTTAAACACTCTGGTAGATATATCTCACTTTCACTGATTTAAATTTGTCTTTCTGTGCAATAATTGTAGACACAGTCGATGACGACATGCTATATTCTTTACAGAGTGCATTGGTACTAATGCCTTCTTCGTATTTCTTCATAATTTCTTGTTTCACTTGAATTGAAATCGCCTTCCGAGATTTTTCAGACCCATGCTTGATAATTTCTCCAATAAAATTTTAAGTTCACAACAATTTATTTAACTAATTCCAGATTTTTTTGTTTAAACCAACACTTCACTGTATATTATCAATATGTTAACTTAATTTCAGAATGATCAATAATTTTAATGTAAAAATGTTTACTCCACTGGAAACAAAGCTAAACAAAGAGCCGATTATTGGCGGATGAGTCGATCAGCTGATACACACACTAAAACGTGTTTCTCGTAAGGCTGTCCTTACAGGAGGTAACTTGTTAACTGAAATCTCGTAAATTGAACCGCTTGTTAATGGAGAGTCCACTGTAATAATAATAATAATAATAATAATAATAATAATAATTAACGGTTTATTGAAAAAAAAATTCTGCAGCCCGAAGGCTGAAAATATACATTGGACATAAATGACTTATTACATACATTGGTGGTTTAACAAAAGCCTTCATTAGAGAAAGGTAAAGGAACATACAGTGAACATACAGATTAATGTAGGTGTTGAACAGCAAACTCGTAGTGTAGTAACTCCCTCCCAGATGGTGTTAGGAGGAACTCACGTGGTGTAGTAGTTCCCTCAGATGGTGTTATGAGGGACCTGGTGTGGTGTAGTAATTCCCTCGCAGATGGTGTTGTGAGGGGCCTCACGTGGTGTAGTAATTCCCTCACAGATGGTGTTATGAGGGACCTCACGTGGTGTAGTAATTACCCCACAGGTGGTGTTATGAGGGACCTCACGTGGTGAAGTAATTACCTCACAGATGGTGTTATGAGGGGCCTCACGTGGTGTAGTAACTCCCTCACAGATGGTGTTATGAGGGGCATCACGTGGTGTAGTAATTCCCTCACAGATGGTGTTATGAGGGACTTGACGTGGTGTAGTAATTCCCTCACAGATGGTGTTATATGAGTGAGGTTTGGTCTTAGGCCTTCCTATCGTAGACGGATTAGCACATCGTGTGTGTGTGTGCGTGTGCATGTGTGCGTAAAGCTTCCAATAATGACGGTTCTACTAACGCCGATTCATATTTAAGACCCTTGTTAATTTAGGACCTAATTCAATTTGTGCCATTATTTTCTTCGTATTTACGACGAAATTAGAAAAAAAAATTACATTTTCATATATATAATAACTAAATCCCGATATGTATTATACAAAAAAAAACTTGCACACAGAGGCTGCTGGGCTTGTGAGTGGTGGATATGACTCATTTACGAACCTTTCTCAAGAAACTTGCAAGAGGGGTGTGGTTATCTACGCTAGGCAAGACCTTAGAGCCAGCCAGGCGAGGGTACAGGGAGAGGATGTTTTTGAAGAGTCCAAGTGGTGTAAAATTAAATTAAAGGGAGGGGACTTACTTATCGTCGGGTGTATCTACAGATCCCCAAACTGTGGCCCACTAAATCAAAGGAACTTAAGAACCTTAATAAACAACGTGGCGATGCTCAACCCTAGCCACCTCCTTATTATAGGGGACTTTAACTATGGAGACATCGACTGGAGAAACGAGTCCACCCCGAATGACTTGAATAACCCTGCTACTCTTTTTGTAGAAACTCTGAGAGATAATTTTCTGTTCCAACATGTTAGAGACCCGACACATTACAGAGGGGAGCAAACACCCAAGCCACTTGACCTCATCATAACAAACGAGGAGGGTATGGTGACCAAACTGGAACACCTTGCCCCAGTTGGCACCAGTCACCATATAGTGTTGTCATTCAGATTTAACTGTTACCTAGTTCAGGATAAGGTCAGGCCAAGGTGCAAATATTACAAGGGAAATTGCAATGGGATGAGGGAAGAGATGAGGGGTATCAACTGGCCTGACTTATTAAGGTACAAGTACGCAGACATTACGCTGAATATCATAACTAGTAAAATGACCCATTTGATCGGTAAATATATACCCAAGACCAAACCCAGTGCTTCTAGGAATACAAGGGGATCCCTACACATGAACCACGCGGCGGTCGACAAAATTAAGAAGAAAACCCAGAAATTCAAGACGTGGGTTGGGTCAAACGATGAGCAAGACAGGAGGATGTATGCGAGAGCCAGAAACCAAACAAAGATAGAGTGTAGGAGGGCTGGTTGCAAGTGAGGTCAAGTCAAACCCAAAGGCGTTTTATCGCTATGCAAAGTCGAAATTGAAAACGCGAGTAGGAGTATCAGACCTGAGGCTGGTGGATGGTAGTTACGCAGGTTCTGACCAGGATAAAGCTGAGGCATTGAACAGCTTCTTTTCCTCGGTGTTCACAAGAGAGGATGCAACTAACCTTCCTGCGTTTGAGGACAGACGGTTCGACACAGCACTGACCCACATTGTGTTCACAGAAGAGGGTATTAGAAATAAACTGTCCAGGCTAAAGGTCCATAAGAGTCTCGGACCTGACATGGTGCATCCCAGAGTGCTGAGAGTTGTACAACGAGCTTGCAGAGCCCCGGAAGATCTTGTTTTGTAAATGCCTGGATGAACAAATGGTCCTCAGTGAATGGAAAGTGGCTTCTGTGAGTCCTATCTTCAAGAAGGGTGATCGTCACTCCACGAACAACTACGGTATAGACCGGTGAGCCTGACCAGCATATTATGTAAAGTACTTGAGAGTATTATCAGAGATGCCGCAATGGAACATCTAATACGAAACAACCTTGTAAAAGATTGCCAACACGGTTTTATGCCGGGGCGCTCCTGCTTAACACAATTACTCAAGGTATTGGATATTTGGACCCATATTTT